ACGTGGTAAGCTCACTATTTACAACGGATTGTTTGTCAATAGTGAGCTTACCACGTTTGTTAACATTTAGACAACGGATGTGTATAAAATTTAGATTTCGACAAGGAATTGTTGCAATGTTGTCAACATTACATAGTGTTGTCGTACTCATGTACATATATACCTTGACAACGGATGTTATTGAAAATTATAAACAGTTTGGTGTCAATTTGGTACCAAGCGTGTATATTTCTTTTTCCCTCTGTGTAGCTTTTAAGAACACAGAAAAAACTCGGTAATGACTTGCACTTACATTGTCACTTACTTTTCAATAACTACCATTTGCATTACTTTTAAGTACTCCTATAATAACTTGCATATGAGCAGATATTTTAATACTTTATTTTGAGCTCTACCGTTCTATTTGCTTCCTATTAGCTCCATAGTTGTAAGTACTTATTTAAGTATTTACTTGTAAACTAGTGTGGCTTTTTATAAGTTTTTGCTGGAAACTAACGATAAACACACTATTCAGTAAATGAGAAGAGATCAATTTGCTGTTGTTCTCTCGCTTATAATTAAACATTCACTTCCTTACATAACTGCATCTTAGAAGCTATTTTTTGAAACTAATGTTCGAATATACCCAGCAAAAACTTACATTGAAAACTGAGGGGTTATTTATTACACAATTGCATTTTAAGTCATTATTTTAACATGATGATGACACTGAAGGCAAGTACTTACGCTCGCTTCCAAGCAGAGAGTTAGGGAAGTACTTACTACAATCGCCTCGAAATAAGGAGATAAGTAAGTAGTATTTGAGAAAAAATGCGTCGGCTGCATTTGCTATTAGTTTGGATAAAATTGTTTCTTGTAAGGGAACCAAATGTCAAGGCTAAAAAGTATTTATAGTTGCAAGACATTACTAGACTGCTTTTAAGTAATGCTGGCGGTATGTAGTAAAGTAACTTCTTGAGTAATAACAAGTTATTACCATGCTATTTCTGGGTAACTAGCATTCTTGAATATCAGACAGTTTTGAGTTTTAATTACTTAGTATAACACATGGCTCATAAGTCTGTTTCGTGAAATACACAAAGAATCCATTTAAGCACAAAAGCTACAGGGGTTTGTTTGTGATAATGCTGTAAGCTAAGATAAGACAGTTTCCCTGGGATTACCGTAAGAAAAACTTTTGTTACCTGTGGTCACCTTAACTTTTTTTAAATTGCAACACAAGCACACACCGATATACATCATTCTTTCTTCATTTAAATTCCATTCTACTTATTTATTTCATTTCAACATTTTCTTTAATTCGTTTAAGCAATCTTTGCTTTCAATCTGCCGATTTAAAAGTAGCAAATATCAAATAGTAAATGCAAAAGTAGTAGTTGATGTACTTTTGTAAATAATTGCGTTAACTTGGCACGTAATTGCAATTTGTTTTCAATAAAATTTATCGATAACTGGCGCCAAAATTAATTTATTTTCTTAAAAAATGTTTGTGTTGTATCTCAAACTCAGCTCCTTCTCTTGTTTATATATACATATATATATATTTTTCAGCGAAAAATGTCATCAAGGTGTTGCATTTGTTAGTAAATTTTATGAACGTGTTTAACGTGTTTGTAATTAATGGATAAATTCAATGAATTGTAATTTTTCTTTCGTTTTTTTTTTTTTTTTTTAAATAAAAATTGGTAGTTTTAGATCAATTAGTTAAAGATAAAATCTTACAAAAAATGAAGTTTTAATTAAGAAATAATTTGAATGTTATTTTACCTCATGTGGTGTGGCTATTATGGTTGTATAGAAGATGTAAATTAAAGAGGTTTTATGCATGAGTTATTGTAATTCGCTGTTAATACGAGTGTTATATATTTGATATATGGTGTTCACTTCTAAAGTTCACTTAAAGGTCTTGTTTATTCAAAAAACTACTTTCCCTCATATTTTTCACCTTTTTATTAGCAAAAATCTTATAAAAAATCCACAAGTAGTTTCCCCCACTACTTATGTATAAAAAATAAAACTTGTATATCAAGTGTCATTCAAAGGTCAAATTTAAACAAAACACGTTGTGAGTGTTGAAATTTTTTTCCTTTTAGTTTTCATAAATTCCCCAACAAATTTACTGATTTTCACTTTAAAGATAAAGAAAAGTTTACAAGCACCATAGACTTTTGACTGGAAATGAGCATTCACCGTTAAAAAACAAATAAAAACCAAATGACTACAACAAATTTCAATTCATTTTCCACACCCAGCTATTAAAACTAAACAAAAATATTTTCTGGTATTTTAGAAAGAAATTGAAATAAAACAAAATCACTACCAATCAACTGACACCTACTTTCTTTTCTGTTTTTAAATACAAACCATCAAGAAAAAAAAATAAAACAAATAAAAAAAAATAAGTTTTTCAATACAATAAAACTCATTGAAAGAAAGGTGGAAAATATACAGGAACAAAAAAAAAAAAAGAAATGAAACACGTCACGATTTTGAAACCGCATACCATTTGGAAATTTGAAAAACATTTTGCAAATGGCAATAGCAACAGCAGTTCTTGGTAAAATAGAAACTGCAAACAACCTGAATGCAATTTAACATTTTTGTTTTTTTTTTTACTACAACCAAAGTATTCAACTATTTTGTTAGTCTAAATGTCGGTCTAACTGTCTTAACGTCTGCTGGTGCTTATAAAAACCACTTCTTCATTTTAGTTTTTAAATTTCATTTAAAAGGAAAATGTACATTTTAACCAAAATAAATGAGTTTTTATACCCTACACCACTTTAGTGGGGAGGGTATATTGGGTTTGTGCTGATGTTTGTAACGCACGATAATATTGGTCTTATAAACACCTTAAAGTATACCAATCGGCTCAGAATCATTTACTGAGTCGATTTAGCTATGTCCGTCCGTCCATATAAACCTTGCAATCAAACTGCAGGTCGCAATTTTGAAGATAATTCAATGAAATTTGGTACATGATCATCTATTATCCCAAGGACGAAGCCTATTGAAAATGGTTAATATCGGTCCATTATTTCACCTAGCCCCATACAACTGAACCCCCGAATAGGGCTTGTAAACCTTGTAATCAAACTACAGGTTGCAATTTTGGAGATGATCTTCTATGGTACCGGAGACGAAGCCTATTAAAAATAGTTAACATCGGTCCATTATTTCACCTAACCCCCATACAACTGAACTCGCCGAATAGGCCTTTTAAGTTCATAATTATGTTTAATATACGCCTATCTCGACAAAAAGCTGTAAAACCAAGTTCTATACTAGCATTAATAACCCTCATGAATTTTGTAATTATAGGGCCTCATTTGACCCCAGTCCCTCTAAAAAGCCCCCGTTTAAAATTTGACTTAAATGTCCACAATTTTATTCAACAATAAATGGTTTAAGTATATCTGAGATACATGAAAACTAAATAACATTTTATTTTTGTAACAGGTGTAGGGTATTATATGGTCGGCCTCGTCTGACTATAGTTTCTTTCTTGTTTTTTTTTTTTCTAGAAAAAGAGTTCTTTTAACTACTATTTTTGTTAGCATTTCGGTTTAAATTGGATTTTTTTGTTTGTTTGCCAAAATATTTCTACTATAAAATATCCCAGCAAAAATATGGCAATGATTTGTACTTACTCAACAACTCACTTTTCAATGACTACTAAATACCGCCTTCATTACTTACAAGGAGTTTAGAATGACTCTATAAATATTAAATATAATAAGTAAAGTTTAGCATTTTAGCCCATTGCATTTCAATAGAAGTTTTTGCGGGGATGTCACTATTAGCACTCTGTTTTTCCTTTCTACTCTTACTTTGCATTGTTTTATTTTACAATGGTGTCGTGGTAATGCTTTCTTCATTATATTGTAAGTGCTATGAAAAAACTTTTTATTTTTGCGATTTTTTATCATCATGTATCACATGGTCGGCCATGACCGACTATAAATTATTACTAGTTTTTTAATGAAATATCTATTTTTACGCGTAATATAAATTTTTCGGTAAAACATCGGCTTTTTATAAAATATTATTTTTTTAATTAAATATAGATTTTTTGATTAACTATCGTTTTTTACGAAATTTTTTTCGGATCATAGATATATTTTTTAGTGATATATATTTATTTTGGTTATACATACACTTCTTAATGAAATACAAATTTTTCGTTATCGGTGACATATCGATTTTTCGTTAAAATATTTTGTGGTAAAAGTTTCGTTATCTTCAACGTTTTGTATTGAAAGTGGAAAAAACAAGTATTCTATTCTGCATAGAATGTAGCCAACTACTATATATAACATTTTCTTGAAATTCATTCTTTTTAAAGTTTAACAAAAACTTTTAGCTGTCAAAAAGAAAATAAAATAAAAACCAAGAAAGTAAGCAAGTAAATGCAATAAACTGCATTGATGCAAAACTGCTAGAAAACATTCAAGGAAACAATAGTTGACGGTATTGGTGTCAACTTAGCGTGACGACCTTTTTGGTGTTAAGAACGAAAGAAAGTCAGAGTAACAAATTTTAATCTAGTGTTTCGGCATGGCTGATAACTGGTATTGACTGTGGAAAAAAAAACTGCTAAAAACATGACAACGACCTTAAGAATAAAAGAAACACGTACATACATACGTTTCAGTTTTTTGAGTAAAGAATTTGTGAAATGAGTTAGAAATTTTAGTTTTAAATATCAAGCTAAAGGATTTTATAAAATTGTGTTAAAATTCAAGTTTAACACAAAGTCAATTTCTCCACAAATTTAATATTCCATTATGGTTTAATTAATGATTTTCTTCTTGCTAATTACAAAAAAACATAATTTATTATTCTTCTAACTACAAAACTGCCACAAAGACAAAACATTATACCTGCAGCAGTTCTTAAACTCTTTATTTTTTTTGCTTAATAACTAATGCTCTTTTCATTTGTTTCTCAAATATTCTAACATTAATAAACTCAAATTTTTCCTTTTTTTTCTTACTCAGGTTCCTAATACGCCACTAACAATGCCAGCATACCAAAATAATAATAATAATGACTTTAATGTCTCCACATCAAACTCCTCAATAACAACACAGTCTACAACATCGACGTCGTCATTACAATCCTCTTGTTCTTTGCAACAATCTGCGCTAACGACGTCTACAGCGCCATCTGGTGCATTTGTTGTACCACCCATGGAGACATCATCGTCATCCTCAACATCATCGTCATCATCCTCATTATCCTCGTCCTCATCATTATGTTCAACAGCAACAATACCGTCAGCTACTTCACCGTCATCTTTAACATGTTTGCATCTAAAACGTTTTCTCGATTGTCAACAAATACATGCACATCCCATGGAGTCGTTTAATAAAGGTAAGTTTTAGTTTTCTTTTTTTTTCAATTTTCATTAGTTCTTTGTTTCCAATTTGTTTTTGTTTTCCGTATTTCATTTCAAGTTTTCAAAATATTTAATTTGGGGATTTTCTTGGTACATTACATTAAATATTGCATATTTTTAGGAGATAGGGAAAATTTTCATAAATTTTTTGAAAGGTTAACTTAATCAGGAATTCTTTAGTAATGCTAAAGTGAATGCTGGACATTGTTTTTGTTAGATTTTAAGTAATTAAAATTATTAAGAGAATTCTTATTATTTGAAATATAAATTAGCTGTTAAAATATGTAGTCTACATTTAGGGTATTTTAAGTATTAATATATAACAGCATAACTTAATGAGGGTGTTAAATACAATTTCATTTTTGCAAATAAGTCTTCCATTACATTTTTTTATCAAAATTTTCATTGTAAAACTAACAATGGCAACAAATTAATCTTTTTCTAATGAATATTTTACGAAAGTCAATACTTTGACATGTGTCAATAACGCATAAATTATTGTAATAATTTATTCAACCAAATATTTCACAACCACGAAAAGCAACAACAACAACAAACAAAGACTAAAACAACAAATTTTACTCAATTTCACTAAAAGCTTTTTTCTCTAATGTTTACAAATTATACAAAAAACACAAGTAGTGATCATGCCCGACTATTCGATACACTACATCAGTTACTTTCAGATAGTAGCCCAATATAGCGGTTGATGACATTCATGTCGATATTACGGGGTCTGTATAATGATATAAATTATATTGTTGCCTAGAAGAGACAACATATCAAGCAGATCAATTGGGGTTTCGACTTGCGTGGCTCCACCCACGGAACAAACTTCATCATATTTTGAAATCATAGACTAATATTCAAGACATCAGCACAAACTCATTATATACTCTTCTACTGTGCAGTAGGGTATACAAATATACAAAAATAAAATCCATACAAAGAGCAACAAATCAACTAATTTGATGGTTGAAATCTTAAATAAACAAATACATACAAATTTTACACAATAATATGTACATATGTATTTGTGTGACTATATATGTAAATCTGTGGTTAAGTTAAATATTTTCGAAAAATAAAAATTTAGTACAATTTTACCAGTTTTTTACACGTAGCATAAATGTAAATACAATACAACAAAACTAAAACCATTGCATACCTTAGGGATTTGACGAATAATGCCTTGTGTGAGTATGTATGCACTTACTTACAACCGCAAAACAATTTTGCTGTTGCCGCTGATGAGAAGAACAAGCTGTTTACTTCATATCGTTACATTTCATTTGCACTTGACTTTTTCCATTTCCCCTTAACAGTACTTAACATGGTTTTAAGCAAAAAAAAAATGAAGCGAAACAAAAAGAAAACCTTTTGTTTGTCTTAAAAGCATCACAACGCTTGGTTGTATACTCCTATAGTTGATGTTCACTTATTCGTCCTTTTACTGTTTGTCGCTTGTGAACAATGGAAGAAAAATTGATTTTTCTTATAAGAAATGACTAACACGAAGAAATGAAAAAAAAAATCAAAAGACTAGAACGAAACACATTATTCATTGAAGTAGAAAAAAAACTTGAAGAAAACAAGAAAAACTCATACTTAGTCTGTAGCGAAAAATCCTACAAATTGCATTTTTTTCAAAACTTCTTTTAACGCAGCATTCAACCGATTACTTTGGCTGAAAGGCATTGACATATTATCACTTCATACCACATACACACACCTCATCTACTTGCAATTTATATGCTCCACAATATTTTTACTCATGGCTCTCATACTTTTAATGTTTTTTTTTTCGATTTTTTTTCATTCCCTTAAAAACCGTCTTTAGTCTGTTGTCATTATCCTTTTTTTGTCCTGAGTTTTTTTCTTCGCATTACTTTTTTATTCCTTTCCACTTCTCTTTCTTATTTATAACAATAGATACATAATTTTTGTACAGTTAGCTGCGTTTTTCTGTTGTTTTTCCTTTTTTCATTTACTCTTTCTTCATTTTATTCCAAACTGTCAATGGTAGAAATTTTTGTAATATTTTCCTTTTTTACTATTAAAAATGGCACAATTGTTTATACAAAAAAAAATCTTCTAAAGAAATTAATTTTGTTGAGTTATAATTAGCTGGAAGATATTACTCAGCTTTAAAATATTTTGCTGATTTCAATTTAAATTTTTTTTTTTTAATTTATTGTGGAACTAGTAACGCTCTGTCCGCGTTGCAGACCCTTAAACGTGTGGATTCTACATGTAAATATCTAAATATCTATATCCCTGAAACATATATTTGAAATATTATCATATCAGGCGCTGTATTTAATGAATTAGATAGATAGATAGATAGATAGATAGATAGATAGATAGATAGATAGATAGATAGATAGATAGATAGATAGATAGATAGATAGATAGATAGATAGATAGATAGATAGATAGATAGATAGATAGATAGATAGATAGATAGATAGCTAGATAGATAGATAGATAGATAGATAGATAGATAGATAGATAGATAGATAGATAGATATAAGGCGAATTAATTTAAATTATATATTATTTAAAAAATGAATAGACATTTGTTGCAAAACTGGCCGCTTTATTTACCTTGCCAAAGATATTTGAAAAAAATATAACGAATAAAAAATTTTTGGTTACGATAATTGTTATTTGTAACCAAAAAATATATTTTTCTTTGGATGCGATGACCAAAATCAAATATATCGTATAATAATGGTTAATTATAACACTTATTTTAAATCCATCACTATTAATTGTTAAATGAGACCTTTTCATCATTTTTCTTATAACCGTTACATCCCTGATTGAAAGTTTAAATTAACATTTTTCAAAAAAATAATAAAAAATAACTCAGAAGTAAATTTAATCATACGCCTCAGTATACACATAAAACTTATGTATCGTCCAATCTGAATAAGGCAAAATTATTTTGTTTGAAACAATTGTCATACCATTTTTTATGTTGTTTTAATAAGAATATTTTATATATTTATTAAAAATATTAAAATTAATTAAAAAACTAACATTTAAAATTAATCATACGCCTCAGTGTACACATAAAACTTTTATATCGTTTGATCTGAATTTTTCATATTTTAGACATGAATAAGGCAAATAAGCTCTTGTTTGAAACAATTGTCATAAAGTTGTTTATATTTTTAGAGAATATTTTCATAATACTTTTTTTTCAATCACTTTTAGTTTTAATGTTTTTTTAATATTCATTGCAATACAAAACTAAATTAAAACTAAATATAAACTGGCTTTCTTTAATGCTTTCCATAACATTTTCCCTTCAAGTAAACTATATACACTTTATTTTTTAATGTTTTCGCGTCATAAACATTTATTAATATGTATTATATCTACTGTTCATCGCTAGCCAAAGAAATGTTGCCTTTTTAAGTACTTTTTCTATAAGTTTATTTTGTTAATAATATAAAACTCTTAACTTCATAAAATGTCTTAAGGACTAAGTCTGAGTAGAAACTTTAAAGTGCTTTTAATTAATTGTCTTGAACAACATTAAGCCCATAAAGTTGGTATTATTTTCACAATGGTGAAAACTAACTTGGTAAAAATAGTACAAAAATTTTAAGAAAACAAAAATAACCATAAGAACTTAAATTAAAAGACGTTTTTTTGCTGACAAAAAGGTAAAAAGTTTATAAATAATTCAAGTGCTTAATTTGCCCAACATAATTGTCATTAAAAATGCCCAAAAAATATTGTTTGAGTACCTTAAAGTATGCTTTTAATTTCTATTAAAAATATATAATACACTTAAAAGATGCTTAAAATGTATTTAAATGAAAATAATTGTTGAAACACAATTAAAGTTCACTGTTTACATTTCTTTTAATTTTTCAGAGACTTAAGAGCCCTTAAGTATGCAACAATTGATTTTAAATACATATTGAATTACTTGTAATAATAGTATTTAGTATTTTAATTTATTTAAAATTTTTATATAGGATTTATTTTTTTTTTTTTTTTGTTCTTTTAATTCCTAAATTGTTTTTCTTTTTTTTTTAATTTTCCAAGAATCATGTGAATGCTTTTGTGTTTTTATTTTTATCATTTTGCAGTTGTTTCTAGATTTTCCATTCTACTAAACATAGAGGATTTTGTGTTTCTATTTTTTTTTTTTTGCTACTCTGTGTATGTGTGTAAATCTTGCAGATAACTTACAACATCAAACAAAAAAAGTCTCAAAAAATAAATGAAAATCTGTTCCAGAAAAAAAAAAAAAAAAAAAAATACAGACAAACATACACTTGCATAAGCAAATCCCTAAAAGATAGACTTCCTTATTATAGTCAGTAACAATACACAATAAAGCATATTGTTCTTTTTTTGCTCATATTCTTTCTATACATAATAAACATGTTTGAACATGTTCATGTTTCATAAAATAAAAATATACATATATTTTAACACATATATAAAGTACATACTAAGATTAAACACATACATACATTTTTAATGCAGCATATTTTTAGAAGTCTTCTTTTTCTGGGAATTTATTTTCTATAGCATACTTTTAGGTACAAGGCTTCTTCTCTTTGGTGTTGCCTGTAAAAAAAAAAATGAAATTGTTTATATGATTTATTTCTACTTTTTAAATATATTTTTCTTATATTTTTACACTTCTTCCTTGCCACGCACTACTCTATGTGAGTTGGTTTTTTTCTTCATTTCCTTCATATTTTTGTCTTTCACTTGACTTGCATTTGCGCAGTATTTCAAGAAATTCTGTAGAGTTGCATTATTGCAATTTTACCTTTATTGTTTTAGTTGTTGTACACTTTTCGTTTTTTCCACTGGCTGTATACATACAGTTATTTTTTTTTAGTTTTTCTTCCTTCTTCCCATTTTTTCACTGCATACTTTATGTTTATTTGTTTTATGTGTGTCGTTGTTTGTTAGATTTTTAAGTATATAATTGTTGAAT